AGTTATGGAGAGGAAGAATGAAAGACTCTGGGGTTTGCTTAAAGAGTGTTTTGACTCAGGACTTATAACCATGTATCAGATGACAAAGGGTTTTGGAAGGGTAGCTGAATCTCTTGATGATTTGGCTCTGGACGTACCTGATGCTGAGAAACAATATCTGCATTACATTGAACGAGCAAGAGAATCCGGATGGTTAGACTCGTCATTTTGTTTTAGCAAATCAACACAAGCTGCAAGTGAGAATGGCTCCTGTCTATGAAAATTGGTAAGCCTACACACAGTACCATCAAATCCACATTAAAAGATATATATGATCACACAATGTGGAAATAGTGTCGCGTTGAGTTATTTTCCTTGGCTGACCTGTAGGTACTATGTAAGTGAATTGGTATTCCTTAAAGTTATTCTATTCATGTACTTTTGGGATGTTTTTGCAACTGCAATTATCTCTGTACAGCATTGCTAACTATCTTTTCACCTAATCTGTGGTCATCGTGGCATCTTTTTATAGGTTTTTATGATGTTTAGTCCATCTGCTGGTTTGCCATTTGCAAAGAATAAGCTATAGACATACATGACACAATCTTGGGCATTCATGTAAATTCTTGCATGCTTATTGAAATCTTTCATTTCTGCTATTGCAGCGCCCGTTCGTGCAATTTGGCTAGACTCCATGATGCACTTGCTGACAGATAAATACAACCAGCTGACGCGTGGAACCTACTTCTTTCTACACTATACTTCCATTTCTACTCTTACTATTATTCCAAATCAAAGCATACGCAAAAGGAATTCATGTGATTAAATGGACGACGATGATACATCTACAGAACGTGGGTTTGTATCATGGACAGTTTTATACTGAGTTTTTTTATATGTTTTCAGAATGGAGGTCGGATGCGCATAATTGACAATTTTATATGGAGGGTTTCCTAGATTTTTTCTCTTAGTTCTTTTGGCAGGTAGTGTAGTCTAGTTTTGATTTTTACCAGAAAGTTTTGAGACGTGTAACACTCATCCTAAATTGCACTTTATTCAATGTATTAAAGCATCTTGTAATGACGTTAAGCAGCCTCTGGAAGATATGTATTGTATGTGTTGTTACCTTTCAGGAACATTCACTTATTTCACCAGCCTCCTCCATAGTCCCATTCGCCAAGTATTTGATATTTTCGACTTTTGAGACTTGGGTTCGAAGGTTGGTGTGGTGAATGCTACAACAAATAGATTGTCTCATGATAGTTGAATTGTTAATTTAATTTAATTTTTTCTTTCTTTTGTATATAAAAATTGATGCTCAAACCCTAGCTTGACATGGATGCACGAGTTCTTTCTAACTTTCAATTTTTATTAGCAGAATAAAGATAATAAATTATTCATATGACATTTAATTTACTCGTTCACATATAATATTTTCTAACATGTCAATTGGGTTAATCCTTTTGTTTTGTTTTGCTTGAGTTTGAGCTTTTCTTTACTTAAAATTAGAGAACTAGGATTATTTTAAAAGTTCATAATTGGTAAGAATTTAAAAGTGTAAAAGTAAGGGTCTTCCGAAGGTAAAAATTTGAAACAGGCGGGGTGGAATTTAAGAGAGTAGAAGAGATCCGGCTGTGTGGACTCTAGGTATCTCCCAGATTTACTGAAAACGCAAGCGCAGGGCTTAATTGATGACAACAAATTATTAAGGACCAAATTGTAAGGTTGAGGGCAATTGGAAGTAAACTTTCTAGCATTCTCAGATGTATAAACTACAATAAATAGCATCGGTAAACAGTAAGCACTTGCCGGCGTTTTAACATATGGAAACAACGACGGAGAAAGAAATCGGAGAAATCCAAGAGTCAACACCAGATCCAACCGTCGGTGCAGTTGATGTTCCGGCTCCGAAGCAGACCCCGAGCAGCTTGACTGCGAAGGTACCCGAAGTAGAGACCCACCTCTATCGCCGCGGCAAAGGTCCCATTGCCATCTTCAAGTCGAACTTGGGAGGATGGGAACAGGACCAGCTCGAGGTCCGTGACATCCTCGACAAGTACGGGTTCAAGTCTGTGTACGCTTTCAATCCCGGATCGGGTCGGGGAGTTCCTATCCGGTTCCATCCCAGGAACGGAAGGTCAATCCTTGGATACAAGGATGGAACTGTGGTTTACATAGATGGAGAACCAACGGTGATTTCTTTATTTTTTTAATTATTTGTTAAATTTTCTTGAGTCTATCAATACAAATATCTCATTGAGTTTTTCTTTGTTTAATTTTGATTAGTCTGTTCTTCACTTAAGCTGAAGGAAGTTTGAGGTATTGAGAATGTACAGCTTGACATGTGTTCTTTTAGTTGATGCAAAGGGAATGTTAATTATTCATGTAAAACAACTTGTATTTTCTGAAAATAAAAAAACATTGTAGGACTCATTTGATTAACTTTGTGAAGATCTATGATTCCCTATAAATTCCAATTTGTTGATTCTTCTTTGTGCTGATGCCTTGACTATCTCAGCTTATATGAGTTTTGATCTTTTTTTGATCTAATTGTAGGATTCCCTGATGAAGCCTGTGACCAAGATATTGATTGGTGTGGCAGTGATAACCATTCTTATAACATTGATAGTTAGAGATACACCTGAATGGCTCAAGAAATTAAATATCTTTGGTGGGGACTTCCCTCCATGGGTCCTTGCTTGCATGGTTATTGTTTTTGCTCGCATGAGGAAGAGAACCAAGGACTTCTTGAATAAGCTTGGCTGGTAAAAGGGTGCTGTGGATACCTTTTTTGTAGTGTTGGTAAGTTTTTGACCATCCTTGACAAGTTTTAATCAGTTTATTAGTCTACAGCCTATTTTGTGTCTGATGCTAATAGATGTTTAAAAGCAAGGTCCCTGTTAAATCTTTGTTGCCTTAAGATGTAACCGACACCTTACTAAGGGGAAGTGGGTTATATAAATTTAAGGATCCATCAAAGCAAGATGTCGGGTGTTGAGTTGTGATCTTCATTCAATCATAGACACGTACTTAATTCTAAAGTTTAGCATGGCAGCATTTCAAAATTGTTATCAAGAACTTTAATGAACTTGGGTCAACTACTCTATTGAAAGCTGCCCTTTTAGACTCATATCATTGTACAAATGAAAAGAACTTTAAGCTATCTTGTCTGAACCTGTGAAATATCTGCTATTTTTGAACAAGAATGATAAATAACTTTTCTTAAAGTACTTTTTTCTTTTTGGTGCACAAGGAAGTTAGTGTCTTTAGCTGTTGCAAAGATTAGGAAGTTGGTGTCTTTAGCTGTTGAAAGATTTGGACCCAAGAATTAAAGTTTTGAAGCTAATAGATGTTGACTCAGCTGAGCTCTTGTTGTTTTTTCTTAGGGTACTTTGAATAGCTTACGTGATCACCAGTTGCTCGTCAATTAGATTATGTTCTGGTTTTCATCAGTCCTGTTAAATACATTGTGCAGGAATGGCTTGAATCTAGGAGGCAAGTGATCTGGAGGTTTGCAAACACTTGTTGCAGTTTGCCACCTTTTTTTCACTATAAAAGCTGTATCCTTATGTCAGCTGGGATGTCTCTGTCAAAATGGCAGTGCAGAAGCCAGACCTCTGGCAACAATATCTAGTATGTGTTAGCAATTACATTTATTCTGAGGTCATTTCTAACAATGTCTCCTTTTGCTAAATTATTGTTGATTTTGGATCCATAACTTTCTTTTTCTGCGTTTAATCTATAATTGTATACTAGATTTTAATATTATGCTAGTTCGAGGCATTGATGCACATCAGGTTTATTATTGATTTTGACTCTTACTTTAAGATCACATCCCCCCAAATAACTAATTGCTAAAGCTTTGGGTTTGATTTTAATATATATATATAGTGCTAATAAGGTAGTCATTTACCTATGGTCACATGGGGATGGGGATTGGTGCATGTTTCCTTGGTTGTGTGCTGAGAACATTCAGTAGTTGGGAACTCTTTTTCTTTCATTTTTTGTGTTCTGCTGTTGTTTAATCAATAATGTTCTAGTAAGATTGTAAAAGCATTAACCTTAGGGGTTGGATCCAATGTTATGAATAATACGGTACTTTTATGTGTACCACTTCTGTTACTGTTACAGTACCTATTGTATACCTTTGGATTTATCATTATATGATATCTAGAGTGAGGATCAACTTAATAATTCTTCATAGAGTTTATATTGTGACAAACCAACATTGGATTTAATATTCTATTTATCTAGATCATGCATATAAAATTTCAAATTAATTGAATGTGTTTAACCATTTATTTAATAGTTATACTTAATTTTGGACAGTTACATAAATAAAGGAAAACACAATTTATCC